AGAATTTTTACAAAAATGATATTCTGTTTAATGAAATTACATATTTTTTGTTAAAAAGTATTTAATATTAAACAAATAAAAATATGGATTCTGCTACTGAATCAGAGCATATAGAAAAATTAATAAAAGAAGCTGAAAGCTTAAAAATTCGTTTAGAAGATGAACGACAGAAATTAAATGATATTACTCGTAAGTATTAATTTTATTATTTTTTAAAAATAATAAAAAGTTTTTTAAAAATGTATAGAAAGTAAATCATATTAAAATACATAATTAATATTATTGTTTCAGTTGCTAGTGTAGCAGATAGATTAGAAATTATTAGTTGCATTAATGTAAAACCACGTCGTGTTCTAAAAGGTCATCAAGCGAAAGTTCTTTGTTCTGATTGGTCACCAGATAAGCGTCATATTGTATCTTCTTCACAAGTCAGAATAGGTTTAATATTTTATTTAAACTTTTAAAGTATTTTTTAATATGAAAATAATTCTAGGATGGCAAAATGATAATATGGGATGCTTTTACAACAAATAAAGAACATGCTCTTACTATGCCAACCATTTGGGTAATGGCTTGTGCTTATGCTCCAAGTGGTGCTCTTGTTGCTTGCGGGTATTAAATATATTTAAAATTTACAAAAGAACAATAATCATTAATTATAATATCTTAATTATTATATTCTTTTTTGCAGAGGATTAGATAATAAAGTTACTGTATATCCTTTAAGTCAAGAAGATGATGTATCAACTCGTAAAAAAACTGTTGCTACACATACATCTTATATGTCTTGTTGTGTATTTCCTAATAGTGATCAACAAATTTTAACGGGTAGTGGAGATAGCACTTGTGCTTTATGGGATGTAGAAAGTGGCCAATTATTACAAAGCTTTCTTGGTCATTCAAGTGATGTTATGTCTATTGATCTAGCACCAAGTGAAACTGGTAACACATTTGTTTCTGGTAGTTGTGATAAAATGGTTTTAATATGGGATATGCGAACTGGTCAATGTGTTCAAAGTTTTGAAGGACATCAATCTGATGTAAATTCTGTATGTAAAAATTTATTATCTTTGTTATTAACATATTGTGTATTATTAAAATAAAGCATATTATAATACCAAATTATAAGAAAATGATATGTATATTATGTTGAATAGGTAAAATTTCATCCAGGTGGTGATGCAGTAGCAACAGGTTCTGATGATGCAACTTGTCGACTTTTCGATCTACGTGCAGATAGAGAAATAGCAGTTTATGCAAAAGAAAGTATAATATTTGGAGCAAATGCAGTTGATTTAAGCATTAGTGGACGATTACTTTTTGCTGGTTATAATGATTATACTGTAAATATATGGGATACTCTAAAATGTCAGCGAGTTGCATTTTTATATGGACATGAAAATCGAGTATCTTGTTTACGAGTTTCTCCAGATGGAACTGCTCTCTCTACTGGAAGCTGGGATTCAACTCTACGAGTGTGGGCTTAATTTTAATAAAATTGCATCTATAATCTTTTCACATTAAGTAAAAGTTAAAATTTTCTTTATACGGAAATTTTAAATATTGTATAATAACGTTACATTTTATTTTTAATTGAATTTTTAAAATAATAAGATATATCAAATACTGTAATATAAATATATTGTTATAATTATTATATCATAGAAAATAAGTGGAATTAGAAATCATAATTGTCATGGTTACAACAATGTGATAGTTTGAAATTAATAATTTTTAGGCTGGTCCTAATTTATAAAATATTCTGTAAATTGTCTGTTTAATTAGATATATTATTATCTTGTATAAAATTTAATAAAAATTCAGTTCATGCATATTTAATATTATTTATTTTTTTTCTTATGTATTACTTAATTTAAATTATATCAAAATAAAAATTATAATATAATATCAATTTTTTAATCAATTGTCTATTTATTAATTATAATTCATAAAAGTAAGTTATATGTTATTCGATTTATATACAATTCATGTTATACTTGGAATATGTATATACTTGCGCGCGTGCGTGTGTGTGTTAGTACACGAATGCCTGACGGTGCACTTTATGCACATTAATAATCACTAGTGAAAAAATATATTGTAAATTGAGTACATCAAGTGATATAAATTTACAAAAACAAAAGTTTATTTATAAAGAAAAGAAAAGAAATGCCTCAATATTCAAGTATGTATTGAAAAAATTAAAAATTTTGAAAAATCTAACCTTAAATTTTTTTATTTAATTTTATACGAACAGTTTTCAGTATTTGATATATAAAGTATTTTATTTTAGTTAAAGTAAAGTGGGGAAAAGAACTTTTTTCTAATGTAGAAGTTAATACAGATGAAGAACCAATGTTGTTTAAAGCACAACTTTTTGCACTGACAGGAGTGCAACCAGAAAGGCAAAAAGTTATGTTAAAAGGAATGACATTAAAGGATGATGATTGGGGCAATATCAAATTAAAAGATGTAAGAAAATAATAATATTGATAATTTTATTATAACTAATTATAATAAAAGAGTAAAACTTTTATTATTTTAATTTTATTATAGGGTATTACTGTATTAATGATGGGCTCTAAAGAAGAAGATGTGCCAGCAGAACCAACTGAAAAACCATTATTTTTAGAAGATATGAATGAATCTGCATTAGCCACTGCTTTAGATTTACCAGCTGGTTTGACAAATTTAGGAAATACTTGTTATTTAAATGCAACTGTACAATGTTTGAAAACTGTCCCTGAGTTGAGAGATGCTTTAAAGAATTTTCCAGGGGGACTTGCAGCTGCTGGTAGCTCATCGCTTGTACCTGCACAAAGTATAACTGCTGCATTAAGAGATTTATATGATAGTATGGATAAAGGATCAGCTTTGCCACCTGTTGTTCTTGTCCAAATGATGCATTTAGCATTTCCAAGATTTGCTGAAAAATCTGAACATGGTGGATTTCAGCAACAAGATGCTAATGAATGTTGGACTGAACTTATCAGAATGTTGCAACAAAAATTACCAGCAAAGGTTATTAAATGACTCAATATTTTATTTTAAATATAAATAATAATATTTCAAATTATATATTTATATATAATTATAATATAATTATATATATTATGTATTCATATATCAAATAATTATAGGAAAATCCTGCCTCAGAAAATAATGGACAAAGTTATAAACCTCGATCATTAATTGAACAATATTTTGGAGGAACATTTGATACAGAATTAAAGTGTATAGAATCTGAAGATGAACCCCCTACTAAAGGAAGAGAAGAATTTTTGCAATTGAGTTGTTTTATTTCAACAGAAGTTAAATATATGCATTCTGGACTTAGAAATAAGATGCAAGAACAAATTACAAAAATGTCACCAACTCTTGGCAGAGATGCAATGTATACAAAAACGGTAAAAAATATTTAATTTATTATATTATATATTATTAATTATATACTATATAATTAATTTATATAGTGCAAAACAAAAATTTTTTATTTAAATTATTAAAATTTTTTTTAATAAAAATAATATATTTTACAGTCAAAAATTAGTAGATTACCAGCATATTTAACAATACAATTTGTACGTTTTTATTACAAAGAAAAAGAAGCAATCAATGCAAAAATTCTCAAAGATGTCAAGTTTCCACTTGAATTTGATGTTTTTGAATTATGTAGCAGTGAACTTCAAAATAAACTTATACCAATGCGAGAAAAATTTAAAGAATATGAAGATCGCTTAGTAGAAGAATCTCGCAATATAAAAGATAGAAAAGATAAAATAGATAGTAAAAAAAAAGTTAAACAAGAATCTTTCTGGTTTTCAGATGGTAATAAAATATAAAAATTAAAAAATAAATGGAAAATCAATATTTTTATATATTTTATATATTTATATTATTATATATATTATTATAATTACAGATATAGGATCAAATAACAGTGGTTATTACTCATTACAAGCAGTTCTAACACATAGAGGACGATCAAGTAGTAGTGGCCATTATGTAGCTTGGGTTAGACAAAAAAATGACACATGGTTAAAATGTGATGATGAAAATGTTAGCGCTGTAACTAGTGAAGAAGTATTAAAACTCAGCGGTGGCGGTGATTGGCATTGCGCATACGTTCTTCTATATGGTCCAAAAATTTTAGAAGTACCTGATACAGATAATAATGAGGATTCAAATATTAACAATAAGTAATTCTTATGTAATCAACAAGTTTTCCATAAAATCTGAAACATTTCCACTGTGCATTAGGCAAATGCATTTTTTTATACAGATGAATGTTATTATAATTTCAATGTTAAGATACTATAGCATACTATTTGCAAAATCAATGGAAGTTATTTCCTACTAAATTATGAAAATCTAATAATAATATATTACTTATATAATTTTTGCATAATGTGAATATATAAAAGCTATACATTCATTGATTCTATACGCTTAGAAAATATGGTGATAATGAATCTTTGAATTATATATATACAATAATAGATAATTATTGTAAACCATTAAAGTGTTCTTTTATAATAACATTACAATAAAATTACAATTAAAATTAGGATCATCTTCATTAATTTATCAATGTTCTCAATATTTATATTCATTTTATCAATATTTACTACTTTAACAAATATATTAAAAATATAAATATATAATATAGTATTTTTACAATAATATGTAGAACAACAACAAAAATATAGATCAATAATATGTAATCATAATATTCAAAAAATATTTTTAATATAAATATAATTCATTATAATTTTATTATTTTTATTTTATATTATTATTTTTATTTATTAAAAAATAAAAACACTGAATATTATTAAAAAAAATTAATATATAAATAACATCTCTTTAAACTTAGTCTGAATATAAATTAAAAAAAGAATAGATTTCTATTAATATTTTTACGATATACATCTTGTACAATGTTCAATGAAAAATATTATTAATTTCTTTTTTCTATTTTTTTATAGAATTATAAATTATTATATTATATTTTATAATATTTGTATATATATTTTGGATTAAACTGGTAAAAACATGTTTTTAAAAATTTGATAAAAATATTTAGAATAAATATTGATTTATCTATATTGATTGATCTATATCTACAAAGACATAACTGGATAAAACGATACAATCTGATAATATAATAAATGGGCTCTCATACATACATACATACATACATACATACATACATACATACATACATACATACATACATCATGGATAAAATACGATACGATATATTCCTATGCACATAGATATATATGAAAAACTTAAGATAGATAATCTGAAATGAGTAACCAGTGCAGTCATAGATGCTAACGATTACGGTTCTTAATATTATATATATATCGCATAATTTATCAAAAAATACCGCGTAATACGTTTAGAAAGTTACAATCACGTGGATATACTGAATTGTTCTAATGCATTCTAAAACGTTTCGTAGTAAAATCCTATACGCATTCAAATTTTTCAGGTAATAATTAAATTGATAAAAATTATATATATATATATATATATATATATATATATATACACATAATATATAATTATATATTATATCATTATATATCATATTAAATGATTTGATATGTATTAATATAATCAGTGAAATTGATATAGCATTATACCATATTCTAGTGATATGATACAAAATTATATATCATGCTACACTAATGATTAATATACATATCATTATATTAAATATTTCACTACGTTTGTGTTTGTTGCGCGCACGAATAATTAAGAAATGTTATTTAATTTTATTTGACAATTAAATATATAAGTATAATTAACAACGATAAATTAAATTATTTTAAAGAAAATAAATCAGTAATTCATACAGAGAAACATAACGTATCTTATATTGTCTTTTTATAATTGTTTATTATTTCAATAAATATTTTTTTTTATTCAGTATAGAAAATTAAATATAATAATTATTTTTTAAGTAGTAAAATTAATAATAGAAATTTAAAACTACATAATAATGTATATATAAATAATAAAAACATATATTTAATTTAGAAGAAATTACAATTTTTTTCAAATACAATAAGACGTTTCAAACATAAAAAATAAACAGATATATTTAATAAAATTATATCGCTTTGATATTTTCATACTTACATATTTACATAATTTAATATATATCATTAATTTTTTTTATTTTTACTTATATTTTATGTTAAAAAAATGTTTTAATTGTTCTTTTATTTTAATTAGAAAAATTATCAAATTAATTACAATCTTTCAAATTTTTTTTATTATTTAATTTTATTATTTATTAAAATATTTAAATATTTATTTTTTTTAATTAAAATAAAGAATGAATATTTTATAATATCTTATATGATACAGTAAAAATATGTTAAATATAAAATTATATAAATAGTAATTCAACGACTTGTATTTTTGATTGAAATGGTGGAAGGATCGGTTAAATTCGGTTTTAGCCGAACCTACCCGAAAGTTATATTTCGCTAGTTACTGGCTACCTTCACCATGGGTGTTTTCACCTCTTTGTTGGTTTCTGATGAAAAGTTTGTTCGTTTATCGCGTTTGTTCTTCAAATAAATAATCTTAGACGTGTCTAAAATATTATACGGAGTGTGTTCATTTCGTAATTATATTTTTTGATGACAGATTGGGTGTGTGTTTTATTTTTCGCTGTTTTCAGTATCGCACATGTGAAAATTAGAATTTTGACGGATCTGATTTAATGCAATGGCGACGTTATTTTCCATTATATTGTCTACGTTTCTTTTTACTGTTAATTATTATTGTGCTTCTGAAAATTCTTGTAATTATGCAATATCAGTGCTAAAAAATCAACAATAGAAAAGGAATGATCTTCTTCTAGTGTAAGACAATTTATATTGTTCCTGGATATTATGAACCGGTGGATCTAATTTAAATCGAGCGGGCTCTCTTATAAAAAATATTTTTTTCTTTAACTTTATCGTAAATTTTTATGATATATTTTTTTGAAAAAATATTATTTATTTAATAGAATAAAAATCTGTAATGAATTTATAAAAAAAATATTAACTTTAAATTGAAATTTGGATTTTATTTATTATATATTTTTTTAAATTTTATATTTTAAAAATTTGTTAAAGATATTTTCACATTTATTTCTTATTTAAAAAATGATTATATTTGCATGAATACGTTTATTAAAAATATAATCAAATATTTAGATAAATCTTTATTTTACATCTCTGAATTAATTTTTTTATTGTTTTTAAAAAAAATTATTTTTTAATTTTTTTTATATTGTAATAAAATATAAAATATTATATATTAAATTCTAAAATTATAAAAAAAAAATTATTTTTCATAATTTTCTTATTTAAATAATTTTAATATTTATATTAAATTTACATAATTATATATAAATTTATTATTAAATTTATTATTGATTTTTAAATTTAAATATTTATTTCAACAAAATCAATAGAATAATAAATAAATAACCAATAGAAATATATTATTAATATTAAAACAATATCATTAATACAATATCATTGTTTAGCATTAATAATAACAAATATCTATGTAATTGATGTTTTGCAACCTAACCTGAATTGTAAAGGGCCATATTATGAGTCAAGTTTAGATCAACACCACGACACGACGAAAATGCATAATCTTACTAGTAAAATATATATTTCTTTTTTGCATTCCAATAGTATAGTTGTTTTCTATAGTGATGTGATAAAATGTTATCATTAAAAGTAATTATTTGAATAAATATTCGTATTTATTATTCGTATTTTTTTGTAAAATCTTTAAATAATTAGAAATATTCAGTTTATTATTCTAAATGTAAAGTGACTTAATATTATTGTTTAAAAATTTTTTAAAACTTTTTTGTATATTTTATGTATATTTAAATTTTAAAATTTTGAAAATAATATTATTTTATTGTGATTTTTTATTTGTACATAACAATTTATTTGTATCATGGAAAATATGATTTTGTATGGTTTCGAAGATTCGCGAAAATCACAAACAATATTGAACAAAATGCAATTGTTTTAGAAAAAAACATATTAAAATTTGTTCTATATCTAATTTATCTAAACGTTTTTTTAACAATAAATTTGAAAGTAATTTAATTATTATATAAAAAATGACAAATTTAGTAAAAAATTTTACAAAAAGAGGTAAAATTTTAAGTTTAATTTTTTTTTTTATAGTAAGCTAAATGCCAATTTTTAGTTGAGTGCAAGGTCTTAAATCTGACGAGACTTGTAAGACTTAATTTTTTTAATGAGTGTCAGATGTTTGAAATTGAACTAGAAGTGGGGATTGGAAGGAGTGCAAGTGGTCGAAGGAACGATCGGCGTCGGGCGGAGTCGACGGCCGTCACAGTCGATATTCATGAAAAAGGATCAAACATAAAATATTGGAAGAACATTTGCAAAAAGAATTTTTATATTTCATGACTCAGTGACAGTGAATTTGAATATTGGACAAATTTGAAACTACATACAAAAAATGGGTAATTGTTTCAGCAGTCCAACAGATACAGAGAAAGAAAAGCCTGATAGAATAGGCAATCCAAATATAGAGGCAGTTGCATCTCAAGCTAGTCCAGTGCCAACACCACCTCCAGATCCTATCAGGCCTATGCCACAAATTCCAGATGCGGATGTGCCAACTGCAAAAATTTTTGTTGCACTTTATGATTATGATGCACGTACAGATGAAGATTTAAGCTTCAGAAAAGGTGAACATTTAGAAATTTTAAATGATACTCAAGGAGATTGGTGGTTAGCTAGAAGTAAAAGAACTCGGCAAGAAGGATATATTCCCAGCAATTATGTTGCAAAGTTAAAGTCTATAGAAGCAGAACCGTAAGTTTTAGTTATTTAAAAATATCTTTTTTAAATGTAAAATATTTAATTTAGAAACTATTTTTATTGCAATAATTATAGAATAATAGATAATTATAAAATTAACACAAAGAGATTAGAATGCTAATCACATAAAAGTTTACAGTTATATATTCATTTAAGAAATACATAAGGTTATTATATGTAAGAGATTAAATATTATATATTATACAATATAACAATATATATAATATATAATAGATTGAAAAAAATATAATAAATCTTAATTTATTTGCTTTTATTTATTATATTTCATTAATGAATTTTTGTTCATATAGTCAAATTAGTCAAATAATCAATGTGATTTTTTCCCATTATTTTTTTCAATTATTCATAATAAATGTATTGGCTTTTAGATTTTTATTAATAATTAATTTAAATCAGCAATATTTTCTTTTTTATCTTTCTATATTTTATATTCTATGTTCTAATTTTAACAAGATTAAAAAAATAATATCTTTTTTTTTTAACATTAAATATTTTTATGTTATGTATTATGTATTAAATTTTTAATGTTAAATTTTATATGAAACATTTCTTATATTTTGAAACATTTTTTTATTTTATTCATTATTTTAATCATTATTTTTTTTAGATGGTATTTTAGAAAAATTAAACGAATTGAAGCAGAGAAAAAATTATTACTTCCTGAAAATGATCATGGTGCATTTTTAATCAGAGATTCTGAAAGCCGACACAATGATTATTCTCTTTCAGGTAAATTAAAATATTTGAATATATGTTAAAAATTTAAAATATAATTTATTATATTTATATATTTTCATAATTATATTTCTAAATATATATATATATATATATATATATAATAAATATTTATAAATGACTTAGATTTTTATGATAAAATAATAAAAAAATTTTTTTTAGTACGCGATGGTGATACAGTTAAACATTACCGCATTAGACAATTAGATGAAGGTGGTTTCTTTATAGCCAGAAGAACTACATTTAGGAATCTTCAAGATCTTGTTGAACATTATAGTAAAGATGCTGATGGATTATGTGTAAATCTCTGCAAACCCTGTGTACAGGTAAGGCAAAAATTCTTATTAAATCAATATTTCTAAAATCATATGTCATATAAATGGAGTTTAGACAGCTTGCTGCATGTATAAAATTGATTTTTAATAATATATTACTATTTTACTAAAGGATATAATATATTATATACTGCTTAATTATTAAACTTTTTTTTATATTTATCAAGGAAATTCTTGATAAATACAAAAATCCATTTAAGAATCTTTATTTTGATATTTAATAAATTAAGTAGAAATCCCTTGATGTTGAATATAATCTATGTATAATATCAGGTTGAAAATGAAAATAAAAATACAAATGCATGATTTTTGTTACCTTAATTGTACACAAATTTAGAATAATTAATTTTATATATTATATAATAAAATAAATGAATTTAATTATAATATTTTAAATCTTTTTAAGAAATATTTAAATTAAATATTATATTTGTTGTATATTTATAGCACTGTCTAAACTCCAGTTAGACTTTGCTCCATAAACTGATGTATTTTTAATAATTATAATATATATTTTTTAAGAAATGTTATTGGAGAAATATTTAAAAATAGTACACTGATCAAAATCACAGTTCAAGTTACAAATATTTTTTATATATATTTTATTGAAATTTTATTATTAATATTGTTAGGAATTATGTTTAAATATATTAATGAAGAAAGCACTAATTTGAATGCTAATAAAAATATAATAAAAAATTTTTATATAAATATTAAATTTCATAAATATTATATTAATATTTATAAGAAAAAAAGAAAAGAAAATATTAATTATTATTTTAACTTTATTAAATATTATATATATTATTGAAAAGTAAATACATACATATGTATATATATTGTATTATACATATATTGCTGAATTTATTTTAAGAAACATTGAAGTTTGAAAACAGCTTTTAGTTTGATAAATAATCTTGCAAAGTTTGATCTCTGAATAGACTATGTTTGTTTCTCTGTTATTGCTTACCTTACCTCCCGCTGGATTTTCTTGGTAAATTGAATGTCCCAATATGACATAACATGTTAATTTTCTTTTTAACATAAATGCTTTCCATTATGTCTTTGGCCTGTACATACAGCACAAACCCGTCCTATATGGAATAATGTATCAAAGACATTAGATCATTCTTCATTTAGATAATTCACTTTTTTTATAATCTGGCATAACATTGCTATAAATTTCATAACTTTTTTTTTTTAGAAAAAAAAAAAAACGATTGAAAGCACACATTTAAAAAAACAAAATAAAATTGTGTCTGTATGTGCTATTTTGATGTATTATTCATTATGAAAATATTTAACACAAATTTTTTTATATAATCTTCAACAAATGACAGTATTTTATTATTAATATTTGTGTGCTTAAATCTATTTCATATATAGAATATCTCAAATAAATTCTTAACATTACTATTAAATTATCCACATCTTTTAGTACTGATTATATAAATAGTAAAGATGTGAAAAAAGACTGTTATTATAATATATTACATTATAGTATATCATATTAAATATCATATATAAATAATATATTAAATAAAAAATAAGTAATATATTTTTTACTAATAATTGAGATATTCTATATATGCAATTTAAATTCATAAATCAGTTTTTAAAATTTATGTTTTAAAATTCTTTTTTGTATTTACATATACATTAAAGAATTTTAAAACAAATTTTCTTCCTAATATATCTAATGAATCTTATATATTTTCTGAAAAATTTTTAATGAACTAAAATAAAAAAGTTCATAATATCATTAAAAATAAATTTTAGTCTTATCAAGTTATATGATTTAATGCTCTCAATGATTGAAATTTTCTTCTATATTTTTTATACTTCTCTTTAACTTAACTTTAAGCCATTGAGGGCATTTTATTTTATTAAAACAGTTCAAATATGGTGCTACATTCTTGTTAATAATGTATATATTCTACAATGAATAAATTTTTAATCTATACATTTATGTCTTGGACTGTGCATAAGTGTTCAATTACTAAGTTCCTAAAATTATATTTAATGAGTTTATATTCTTATCTATAAAAACGAAAGTTAATAACTTGTGAAAAAATATTATTATATGTCAAAAATAAAGATTCATCTATTATAAATTATTTTTAATTAAAATTATATTTTATATATATCTTAATATATATAACTACTATATACATATATATATGTCAAATCTCTGTAAAGCCATTTGAATGTCAATGATATAAATAAATAATTTAAAGTTTGCTTTTCATCACTTGCATCTTGCATAATAGCCACTATTTCTTTTTTTTTATAATTTTACTATTAGATTAGATATCTTAATTTAAACAACACTTATTGTTTGTTATATTATATAATGAAATCATTAAAAACTTAATGAGTAGTTATGCAGCCTAAGCAACATCTTTAAAGGGCTTCTAATTAGGTTTGTATTTAATAGAAAGTAAGATCAGTGCTCTAAGTTTCTTTGAGAAATTTTAGAATTTTTATATTTATATTTTTAATATAATTTAAGTTTCTCTATTTTATTTATTATTATATAATTTTTGTAAAAAAGCATCTGCTATTAATGCTATGGTAATATATTTATTTAAAATAATTAAAAAATTTAATTTAGCACATATTTGATTTTGTTGACAGGTTGAGAAACCTGTAACTGAGGGTCTTAGTCATCGCACACGAGATCAATGGGAGATTGACCGTTCTTCTCTCAAATTTGTAAGAAAATTAGGCCAAGGCCAATTTGGAGAAGTGTGGGAAGGATCATGGAATAATACAACTGCAGTGGCAATAAAAACACTCAAACCAGGAACTATGGATCCTAAAGATTTTTTGGCAGAAGCACAAATCATGAAGAAACTTCGTCATGCAAAATTAATTCAATTATATGCTGTATGCACTTTAGAAGAACCCATTTATATTATCACAGAATTGATGAGGAATGGTAGCTTGTTAGAATATTTGCAAGGTAATAAAATTATTTTATTTAATTACTTATGTTTCTTTATATTTACTTATTTATTCATTTATATATATATATATATATTAATTTTTTTTAATAGGAAAAGGAAAAACATTAAATCTACAACGATTAATTGATATGGCTGCACAAATTGCAGCAGGTATGGCTTATCTCGAATCACAAAATTATATTCATAGGGATTTAGCTGCTCGTAATGTGTTGGTAGCAGAATTAAATGTCGTGAAGATAGCAGATTTTGGTTTAGCTAGGCTAATTAAAGAAGATGAATATGAAGCCCGAATAGGTGCACGCTTTCCAATTAAATGGACTGCACCTGAAGCTGCAAATTATAGTAAATTCAGTATTAAATCTGATGTATGGTCATTTGGTATTCTTCTTACTGAATTAGTTACTTATGGAAGAATACCATATCCTGGTAAATAAATTTTCAAATAAAAATTTTTTATATTTGTAAAAATTTAAACAAAAATATTTAATTATTTTTAATTTTAAAGGTATGACAAATGCAGAAGTTCTTCATCAAGTAGAACATGGCTACAGAATGCCATGTCCACCTGGTTGTCCAACAGCATTGTATGATATTATGTTAGAATGTTGGAATAAAGATCCAATGAAGAGGCCAACTTTTGAAACATTGCAATGGAAATTGGAAGATTTCTTCACTATGGAAGGTTCTGAGTATAAGGAAGCATCTGCATATTAAAATACTAAAACATTTTATAATTTTTGGTTATTTCATTAATACTTATTGACAAGATATAATAGATATTCTTTATGAATGAGCAACGAGATAGATGCAAATTATTATATAACAATTATATTCAGAATGCGAATGTTTGTGATATTTAAGAGTATACTTTATACTAAAAGACAGTCTTCTTTCTATAAAATATGAATGATACCATTCATTTTTTTTAGCAATACAATTATTGCTTTTGTTATATATTCTGGCTGCCATAAAATTATAGAAAAATTTTGTCAATTCATAATGATTATATATAAACAAACATTGAAATGTTAATTAATCGTTTTTAAGAGATAGTAGCGTAATTTACATTTCATTTTAAAAAAATGACATTTTTGACATATAAATGTATTGTTATTCAGCACCTTTTGAACAATACCTATGGGAGTTAACATTTTATAATAATTAAAAATTTATTATTTACAAATCTATAATAAGTTTTCAGAAATATTGATAAATTTAATGCAGTTAAAAAAATTTTCAAAGTATAGACAATTCGCTTAAATTTTCTAAGGAATGATTTATTAGGAACTTGAAGTATTTACTAACAATAAAAAGGATTATTATCCATCTTGGTTCATCATTCCTTCTCTTATATATATATGTTTGTATAAACACATTTTTATTATTATCATAATTGTTAATTTGTTTGTTATTAAAACTTGCAATTATAGTACATTTTATGTTTAAAATTTATCTTAAAAATAATATGTTAGAAACTTAGAAGTGACTTCTTTATAATATAAATATAAGATTTCTTGTCAATATTTATTATAATTTATATTTTTTTTTAATTATGTTAACTCTCCGTTGTTTTTTAAAAAAAAGCACATATTAACTAGAAGCAATCTAAAAATCTATCTAATCTAAAAATTATTCCTAATTGTTCATAAAAAATATGATACATGTGTAAGATAACATAAGAAAGTATACAAAAGTATTAATATTATTAGTAAACTATTAATATTTGAATTTTTTATTTAAAAATAAAAATAAAAATTTTATTTTAAAATAGGTTATAGACTTAAAATTCCAAATTAGTATTTATTGCTATATGTTATTCATTTGATTATATTTTCATATTAATGCAGTTTAATTCTTATTTTTAAACTCAAATTTTTCATTTTTATACATTTATATACTAGACATTATTAATTTATTAGATTTACAAATTTAATTTTATATCAATACTTCTAAAAATTATAAATTTTAAATTAAGTGATATAATTTATAATTTTGTAATTAAAATCCTTTATAACTTTTTGGTTTTCATAAAAAACTTTAAAGTAAATAGATTAAGCATGTTATGTATTAGCTTGTTTATGTTTACATATTTGATGCTATATTTATAAATATTTACTTTTTTTTTAAATTTTCATCACTTTTATATAATATGAATTTTATAAAATCCTATGAAAAAGTTTTTTTTTTTAAAAAGACATTAAGATATTAGCTATTTATAAAATGGACATATTGAATTTATAGTATTTTCTTTTTTATTCTAGTTTCTTTTTTATTCTATATACAAAAAAATCAGAAGTAAAAAACATTTGTCTAGTCAGAGACCACTATTCTATTGTGAAAACTTATGCTGTTAAATACATTTATATCATTCTTTCTGTAAAGACATATAAGATATACTGCCAAATAAATATAAAGAAACAACTATTATATTATTATTATCACACTTAAAAAATTAAAAAAAGTAATTTGAAAAAAACAGTATAATAACAAAATATCATCATACTGTTAATTAAAAAAAAAATTTTTTAAATTTAATTATTTCTGTGGTCATCTGATAATTAATTAAAAATATTTTTTTGTATTATTTCAAAAAATTAAATCTGATAGTAAATAGTATTAAAACTGTGTGATGATAGTAAGAATTTAAAGAATCATTTATGTAGATTGTCAGACTTTGTACAAAAATAAATTTTTATATAAACATATATATTTATATTTTGTACAGTTTTATTTGATTGTAATGAAAAAAATGATCTTTTATATGTATAAATTTCAGTAAAGCACAAAATATTTACATGATTTTTATACAGTAAACACAGTATAATTTCTTCACGATTTTTTCAATTAAAAAAACGGAGAAACACTGGTATATAAGTATTAATTATGTGAAATAATATAAAGCATATACTTTTAAAAATAAACATAAGAACTACGACATCGTTAACGAAATAGTATTATCGTTAATAAAATTGTTTATATATAAGTGTATTATGTCATAATTATTATATTATATGCAAGTTTATAATTTTGTATACATAAATATATATAGTATATATGTATAAATATTATATAATTACATATAGTACATACATATTCATATCATGCGCGTGCGCATTTGTATGTGCTTAATGTATGTATATATATATATAAATATATATGTGTATATATGTATACATATAGTACATACATGCATATTTAAAATATTATAAAAACAATTTATCTCTTGTTTGTAACTTTTACTATTCCTTATCTTTTTTTATTTCTTTCGAATATCTATAATTTACTTACAAATAATACATATGTATATATATGTTTTCTATAGATTAAATTACATTTTAATCATATTTTAATATACCTTTTTATCTTTAATATGTTTAAAATATATCTTTTTATTTTTAATATATTTTAAATATATTATTTCGATTAATTATTTTTGGTATTATGTATATTATTTGATAATACTAATCTATATTGGAGATATATTTATTATAAACATTTTACATATACAATATTTTACTGCATGTATTATATCAAATAGATAAAAAAATTGGAAATTATATATAAAATAATAATTTTAAAAATATGTAATTTATATAAATATATTTTTCAAAACTAATTGAACTATATGAGTTATTAAATATGTAAAATTTTTTTAAATTTTATTTCAGTTTTTTAACGTTGTTTCAATAGTTGGCAATTGATTCTTAATATGAAATAGAAATATCACTAGGGAAAATTACTAAGCAGTAAGTCTCGACAGGTGTTTTGTACAGGTGTTCAGTGTACAGTGGCGCGTATTCGCGTGTTCAGTGTATATCTTGTATCCTCGGCACAATAAAATATGTAATTGATATTGAACAGATATAAAAAAAAATGTGAAATTTTTCATTTAAAATTTTTAAAAATGTTTCGGTTATGGTGTGATGTGATAGATTCGAAGTATCGTGAAAGGTGATCGTTATTAAGAATATTTCCATACGAAAGATCAGCGGCAGACATCGTGGGATATTGTAGTTGGATATTATGCTAATCACGTTACGATCAGAATGCGAGAAGAAGAACTTGAGATATCACTCAAGGTGATCAAAAGATTAATTTTCATTTTTAATATTTTAATATTATCATTTTTTAATATTATATATTTTCATTTAATATTCTTATATAATGATATATTACATTTATATATTAATGTATCACATTATATTTTTAATGAACGAAATATAAATTCTCACATTTTTAGATATGGATTAATAATTTAATTAAAAAAAAAAAAAATAGATTATATATGCACATTATAGCTTATTTATATGATACATTTATTATTCTGAAGGTGAAAGATAATATTAAATTAATTTAATATTAAATTATAATAGTAAATTATAATAGTAAATTTTGAGTAAAATTATTTTAGTGAGATTTATATTAAATTTCAAATCAAATTTCAGAAATGCGTATGCGCAGTAACAAATTTGCATTACGAATATACATATAATGTAGCAAACCGGCTTATTACATTTTAGGTTAAGTATAATAATATAATAATTAAGTATAATATTTTTTCATTTCTATCAATAACTAAATAAGAATGAATAACAAAAATAATTATGAACAAAAATGTAGAGAAATAGAAAAATATATATATAAAAAAATTATTATGTACCATACATGTTAATATAATTTCAAAAATAAAATATTTACAAAAATGGCATTTGTTTTAAATAGATAACTGATTTATTTTAAATTTATAATATCTAAAAAATTCAAATCATTTTTAAACAACTTCAATAATAGAAAATAATTTTCTAATTAGAGAATAATAATATTAATATGTATATTTTTATTTTTCAGAAATTATATAAAAGATATATAGATATATAGATTAGTATTTGTTAACATCATTTAGTGGTTCATTAATTGCAATTTTTTATTTGATTGATGACGGTATGTATTGATATTTTCATAGATACATGTATATAATTTTAATTCTGCATTTGAAAGATCAGTGCGTATATACATATGTCGTTATTTTATTTCGTCATAAAAAAAAAATAAGTAAAAAAAATAATTTACTTATCAATAAAATGTTATTATATTTAAAATTATGATATATTAACAATTAATATTACAATTTATTTTAAATATAATAACTTAGTAATTTATATACTAATAGTAATATAATATATTAATAATAATATAATAAAGTAATTTATTATCTTATAATAGTAATAAATTTGATTTATTAAATAATTTCTATTTTAATTCATTTAAAATTATTTTTGAATAATGAGTATAATTTTTTTGGTTTTCATTAAAATTTATTAATAATAATTTATTAATATGTTTTTTATATCGTTATTATAATGTTTTATAATAACATAGATGTAATTCTTTTTTTTGTCACTTATGATCTTTAATTATATAAAATGATTCTTTATAGATTTTTTATATTTAAGCAAAAGAATAATTTAATTTTAAAAAATATTTCTTATTTAATTTAAGAAAAGAAATTTTAATCTGATTTAATTATTTTAAGCTTTATTCGTGTTATTCGAATAATAGTCTTTTAATAGAAATATAAAAAAAAATTATTTTTTCATTTGAAAAGTTTTCAAGAAGAATTCATTACATGATTGCATATTGTTTCTTTCTACTTTCTTTTATGATTTTAATGATAAATTCATAGAAATGAAATTATTAATACAATTAAATTAGTAACATTATTTAAGATTATAATTAATTATACTTTTTCTAATATTGAACTATAAAATTAAGAATCAAATTATATGAGAAACTCATGAGAAAATTAGTTTAATTGGAATATTCGTCCTCAATAAATGTTTTAGAATTGTGTTTAGAAATTATAATTATTCGGATAAAGAAAGAATTAGTTACTCATTAGTTATATAATGTTTTAAATTGGCTAAATCGTTTATGGTAAATACTAAAAAATTGATATATATTCTCTATCGGAATATTTTTTGTGAATATTTTTACAGTTTACGAAAATAAAAGAATATATATTATGAATATATATTATTATATATGTTTTTTTTTTATCTATACATATAATACAATGTATAATAAAATGTTTATTTGTACAATTTAGTATGTATACATTTATATAGTACACATTTAAAAAATAATTTTACAATTATTTTATAATTATTTTATTTTATATTATTTTATTTTAATATATAATATTTAATATATAATATTTCAATATAAAATAATGTGATACATATGTAGATTTTAAATTTGATAATCGATGCGATAA